GCTGTCGACGGAGACTTGTGGCACGTACGTAGCTGCATTTGTGTGGAGATGGACACGGAATTTCAGTTGGACCTTAGGAACGACCTAGCCGGAAGATGGAGGTGATGATCCCGTCGATGGATGCATGAACCGGCTGTAGGTTTACTCCGTTAGGCCAAACAGTCATTGAAGAAGGAGGGTCCGAAAAAAATGCTACTCGCCTGTTTTTTCTGCTCGGGCGGAATTACGTGATTGATGGGAGGAGCCAGCAAAAGCAACCAGCCATAAAACACGTCAACCTGCGACTTACTATAAATGCCCTATCCCGGAACTTGTTCTATGACCTACTGTAATGAGAGCAAGGAAGGGAAATATTGACGGGACGCGACGCCCAAACCACCGACTCGGTCACGGCTGATCGGCCCTCCGACGCGCCGGTGATCAACTATCAATCCCGGATCTGGTATCCATTTGGGCTCAAACTCAGCACCAAAGATACTCCGTGGCTCTGGGTTCGCCGGGAAATCTGAAGGGCAACCATGCTAGCACTTCAGTGTGGATACGGACCATCGTGAATTCGAGAATGCCGCCCCACGCATGAGAGACTGAGCAACAAGCACCTTGCGGTGAAGCTTACATTTCAGAAGACTGCACTGTGTACGGAGACTCTCGTAAATTCTCCTTTGTTCGATCTCCAACTCTCCTTACTGCATATGCTTCCAGGCGATTGTGACGTGTCTACTCCGTAACCCGTAGCAATCAAAGTATGATGATGTCTCTTCTCCTGAATGAAGAATGAATAGCATTGTTCCCTATGCAGCCAATCATGCCAGGAAACAGTTGCTTATTGTCTAGTAACACTCATTGGAGGTGGCTGGAGGCGAGGAATGGACTCCCCCTGCTCATGATGCTCGCATGGAGAAATGATTACCGCCATCGAAGGGTTGTTACAGCTCATCCCGCGACCGAAGTCTTTCCAAAGAGAGCAAAGTGTATCAATTTGAAGTCCCTTTAGCCTCGAGGATGTCTTGAGACCAAAGCGTGTCATGGTAGACAGCAAAGTTGGACGTGGCGAACTCGAACTCGAACATGTGGGCCTTCGCACATGTAGAGTTGCTGTATCTGTTGCTTGTTACTGGAGCTTAGCATTTCCCAGACATCACGTCGCAGATCTCAGGCAGCAGGCGGCGTAGGTATGCACTGGGCCCGCAACACAGGGCTTTACAGCTTGGTGGGGTGATTCCAAGCCATGCTAGAGATTAGCATCGCAAGCTTTACTGAACGCGGCTATGATCGTGATCTGATCTGACACGCATAGAGATGATGCAATAGAGCCATCGCTTGGCTCTAAAATGTCTCAGTAAGGAGTAGAAAAAAAGAAGTATCTTCGAGCCGTTCAGGTGAACAAGGCTTTGTGCAGGACGGCCGGCGCTGAAGGGCTCTAAGATCGAGAAGTCCGCTTCACGGCATCACGGTGACACAAAGGTGGGCTTTAAAGTTCAGAGCAGGACCAGAGCACGACATGATACGCAAGTTAAATCAGCGTTGTGGGATTTATGGTAGACAAGAAATCCTGACAGCTTTTTCCGACAGGTTAGCCATGTAGACAGATGCAGCCAAGGCAACCGCAACCCCAGAAATATTCCAGAAGGTGTATCGTACAAAAATAAGCAATACCAACCACTAAGTAAAAGGCATCTCTAAGCTTTTGAAGTCCCAGATGATTTCACAAGGAAGTCAGATGGTACTCAGTAAAAACAGTCCCATCCACCTCGATATCACCACCACCACCAGCCAAACAAACAAACAAAACAAACAAACATTCCCCCCCCCGGTACTCCCCCAGCTCACCCAATCCAGTAAGCGGTCAAGCCCACCACCAACGCATCGCACCATAAAAAAAACCCACGACAGCTAAGCTTGACTCACCTTCTCTTCTTCTCCCCTAAGCGCCATCCCCACCAATGCTGCGTTTCTTTGCTACACACGACAAGAAGACCTCCAGGTCTTCCTGTCCTCGGCTCTGATTTCCCCTCTCCGGGGGAAATCATCCGAAACCCCCTTGCAAATGAGAAATTCGGAGGAATCTTCACCCTATGCACCCGCCATTTGGAAAATGAAATCATTTTTCAAATGGCCGGTACTGCCCTCAAGGGCCTGGTGTGACATCCTTGCACACACCTGCAATCGGCATCAGAAACATCGGGGGGAGGAAGGTGAAGGGATGTAAGGGTTCGCTCTTGCATTTCTTTTTCCTTTTCTCTTTTTCCCCATGGGAGAGTCGTTGCGAAGATTGTGTGTGCACTCGGCAACTTTTGACCGGGTGTGCGACACTTTAGTGCAATACGCAGCATGCCGTTTCCTGTTCTCCCCTCGCTGGGAGGATGGGATTGGTATCATTCGATTCCGATTATTCTGGTGGGGGTGGCGCTTCACTTCTTTTTCCTGAGGTTAGTTGGATGTCCTACCTTTATTAAATCTTGTGTCTTCGCGGTTAGAGAACTGGAAAGGACTTTGTTTTTTCCCCGGCTAATTGTTGGGTTTGGGGACCTGTATGGGTTCTTTTTTAGGTTTTTGATGGCCTAGTGGGTTAGAGATATACTATATGGTCAAGGAGGAAGAGATGTGTTATGGGCATCTGTTCTAAGCTGCTATTGCAGGATAGTTATATACGTCTGTTGAGAATGCAGCTTCATTGCACAAATCCACTGCTTCGTACTTCATATATGACATGTAGAGAGACTGGACAGAATTATTGTAACCAATTGGACTTTGAACACGTTGGTCGCTTAGCATCTAGCTGGATATTATAGAAACAAAAATGAACACAGGCCCCCGAGAACAATCAGGATATTTTCCGAACATTAGAAGTTGAAAAGAAAAGAAAGAGAAATTGTTGCCTCCATGTTGCTCCCACTCGTCATTATGATCTCGCATGTCCACTTACTCCTCATCGCCAATCTAGACATTATAAGTCAGTATATCTCTCTCAAGACAGTTGAATGAGGAATCATCGTACCTTAGGGGCCAGGTAGAATCTCAAGTGACCGCTACCAAGGCCATACTCAACGAGGAGCGGCACCTCCTGCGACAGGCACAGGGTGACCTTGTTCGACAGGTTGGTAGCCTTGCAGAAGTTGACGAGGTACTTGAGGGAGAAGGTGAGGGCGACGGGTTCGGTGAGGGAGATGGAGACGTTCTGTGCGGGGTTCTCGACGTTGGTGTGCTGACGGACGGTGACGGAGCCACTGCCAATGTCACCCTGGCAGGAGAACTTGACACCCTCCTTCGTGGCCTCAATGACAACTGGGAGAGGAATTAGTCGCGAATCAAACCCATTGCCAATGGAAAGAACAACATACCGGACTCAGAGAGAGCATTCAGATCCCTGCAGATACGCTGGAACTCTGCTGCCGGCATCTCTACCGTAGCAGCGTACTCTGTCTCCGGGATGGCCAGGTGCTCCTGGTCAATGTCCATCAACTTGATATCATACTCGCTAAGTCTATCTGTCTCGGCACTCTCGAACATCAGGTTGACGGCATCGGGAGAGTCCTCAGCCTTGAGAGTGAGAATGTCTTCGTTTTGGGCGGCACGCAGGACCTTGGTCAGGGAGACCAGGTTGATACCGAGGGCAATGTTACGGTCGCAACGGTAGGGGGAGAATCCCTCGGCCTTGAGCATCATGGAGACAAGAGCGACATGGGAGTTGTCCATGGCCTGAAGTGAGATACCGGAGTCATTGCAGTCGAAGTTGCAGTCTTGGACCAGGTCCTTGATGGCGTCGACGACCTGAAGAAACCGAATGTCAGCAATCAAGCAATGACATGCAACAGTATGATCGAGAGTTACTCACGCGCTTCAGGAGACTGGCTTGTTCTAGGCGAGCTTCAAGCACTGAAATAGATGTTAGCATACAATCTTGAACCAGTTGAAGCTTGTGACGCTCACTTTTGATGTGATGGTATGTGAGTACGGTGAGAAGCTAATGAGAAGGAGAAGAGGAAGATGAGGAGAGGCTGAGCTAAGTAGGTGGTAGTTAGCAGGTGAAAGCAGGATCGTGAAGAATGAAAGTCGTAAAGAACTGACAGAAGGAATTGAGTGCGTAGGAAGGATAGCGGCGTGTCTTTCAGGTTGGGGTGAATTTATTGAGGGACCTGAAAGTGCAGCGAATTCGCGTTCGAGGGTTTCATTAGTGGGGAGGCACGCGTCCCAGTCGCGTCATCCCTTAGGCTGATATCACCCTTTGGGGTTAGTCTGGTGCTGCCTGAGGCTGGGCTATACCGCACCCGTCACGAAGAAGCGTCACTACCACTTGTGACTAACCCTGCAACTGAAATATCTCTATGGAAGTATGGGAAGTTATTTCTCTGTAGCCAGAGGTCTACAGGGTGGTGAAGTATGCTTTGTGCTAGGCAGGCAGTACTGAAGCATTGCGTGCACTGTTCATCCAAGCATACCAGACTCTTATCGTGTGCATTTGAATAACCCAACCCAGTGCCTGTAGGTCGCGGGTAACACTTGACTAGAGCATGATAACTTAACAGTTATTGGGTCTCAATGACAATGATATCGGCGTAGGACTGACCACTAAACACACTACAAAACTCCGTAGCCGCTAAGAGTCAAATACAATGATAACTCAGCAATGCACCACGTTACAACTACTAGGACATGCTATATGTTACTAGCTCTGCAATATGACCAGGGAATTGCAGATGAGTAGTCAACATATGGATATCCAATTGGTCTTGAGCGAGGGACAAGTGGAGAAAGCGGAATATGAATTCCTTATGACAGTGCTCTTCCGCGGTAATGGCTGGATTACAAATGCAATCAGTATGGAGATATGACAGGCATTTGAACAACCCAGAGGGTGATGGTACATACATCATATATTCCTGAGCTATAAAATTACGTAGTATAAATGTCGGGCCCAGCTGTTGAATTATCCGAACGATCCATTTTCTTCTTCTTATAGTAACAGTGGAGTAGCATTCCAACGCAAACCTATTCTAATAATGACCACAGTATTCATGTCAGTCGCTCATCCAAAAGCCAAAGCACTTTGGTAGTATACACATTGCAAGAAAAGCTCACACTAGCCACAGAACAGGAGCCAGCGGCTACATCGGCGGCGACCTTCTATCAGTACTTGTATCCAAGTACCCAGACCTGCACTACCGCTTACTGGTCCGAAGCCGCGATAGTGGGCAGAAGATCAAGGCACAATATCCTACTGTCGAGATTATTCAAGGCGATCTTGATAATCCAGAGACGCTGGCAGCAGAAAGTGCTAGGGCCGATATCATCATCCGTTAGTGGACGCATCCATTCATTGTCACATATTATCCATCATAAGGGAAGAGTACCCGCTGACATCACCGGCCCTAAAAGACACAGCTGATGCTGCTGACCACCTCGGAGCGGCCAAGGCAATAGCTCAGGGTGCTCTAGAAGGGCATACCGAAGAACGCCCTGTCTATTGGTTGCATACCAGTGGTGCCGGGATCTTCTCGTTCTCAGACACTGAAAACAAGGTATATGGAGAGAAAGGCGAGAAGATCTATGATGATGTGCAAGACATCCAAGAGATCATCAATTTCCCTGACCATGCGTTCCACCGAGATGTGGATAAAGCGGTGTTGGAGGCTGGATCGGTGCGTCCAGGTGTCCTGAAGACTGCTATCGTATCCCCGGTTACTGTTTACGGTAGGCTTCAATAACAACCAACACGGAAGAGAATGGAGATAACTAACTTGGCTGCTATGCCTTAGGTCGTGGCCGAGGACCCTGCTCCCAACGCAGCAGACAGATATACGAGCTAGCCAAACTGACCATCCAACGCCAGAAAGTTCCCATCATCGGCCGGGGCCTTTCATTCGCGACCGATATTCACATTCAAGATCTGACTAGTTTATATGTCATTCTTTTCGAAAAGGCCCTTTCAAAACAAGATGATGGGCTTTGGGGTCCGGAGGCATACTACCTCAGTGAGAATGGGGAGCATTGCTGGGGTGAGCTGGCCCGTTCAATTGGACAGATCTGTGTAGCGGAAGGATTCATCCCAAACGCCGAAGAGGAGGCTTTTGGCTTCGAGGACGCTCGGAAATGGGCAGGCTATGAGGCTGCTAGTTGGGGGCTCAATGTACGATGTCGGGCCAGTCGTGCTCGTCAATTGCTGGGGTGGCAGCCGTCTGCGCCATCGCTGGAATCCGAGCTTCGGGATATCGTGAAAGGGGAATATCGCCGTCTGCAGGAGGCGGAAAGCAGTGCATGAGGCTTTGTTTAAGATGTTGATTATGAATTGATACAAGTGGATTGCAAAGAATTGGCCCGACTGTACCGACTTACAGTCGGGCCATAGTAACCGAAGATTGAGGTTCCTTCAGTGGTACTACGCAAATCACACAATCTATACCATCAAAAACACCTAATTCAACGGAGCAAGGCATCATTCTTCAGACATAATTGAATACTGTCTCAATACCAATAATTACGCTAGAATGTAGGATATGTACACAAGGCTGATGATACAGAACAAACGAGATCAAGCGAAAGCCGCCAGCATTGCTTCGGCAAGCATAGTGAGTATACAGGAAGACGAACGGACGAGTCAAGAGAAAAGTACATGATATACAGTATCAACGATTGTAAGGTCCAAGGGTGTCCGCCAGGGGAAAGAGGTAATAATAAGTAACCGGGCTGAGATAGAATGCAAAACTGCCTTAACGCCGCTGACACCGGACCGCTCTATACATTTCTGGGTATCAATCTGCAAGGGTTGCTAGGAAGAGTCGGCTTCCAGCTCGAGGTAGAGTAAAGCTTAGGTGATAATATGCGGGGAGGAGGAAGGGAAAAAAAATTCGGGTATCGAGGTGGCGGTAGAGAGGGATAGGGTTGGAGGAATGCCGTCGAATGATGGCGGAATCAGATGCTTGTGACACGTTTCGCAGCTATTGTGGTACGAGGTCGTTGCTTGATTACCATTTCTAGCTCCTTGAGCATGTTTGTATTGGCATCAGTGCGCTCCCGAGCGGCTGCTTGTCGTGCTCTATCTTCCTTGACTCGCGCGATTCGTTCTTCTCGGGTTAATGACATCCTCTTGTTCCGAGCCGGAAGAGCTACAGCTTCAAAAATTTCCTCCTCATCATCTAGTGTATGAACGATGCTGGGATCTGTGTTCTCGCCAGTCAACGCTCGAAGGGCGTCTGCAGGGCTGCCCTCGACTGCAGTAGAGCCCCCAAGGCTGGGTGTGGGTGACAGGGGTGTTTTCAAAAAGCTCGAGGGTCGCGAAAATTCCGGATTTGCGGGTTTTTCCAAACTACTCATCAATGCGGATTTGCCCGACTCCCACTCCTGGAGAAGGCTTCTGATGTCCGCTCCAATCGATTCATACTGAGGCATGAGGCTCGCCTCGAATTCACCAGCATCCGGTCGCTCGAGATTAGAGCTAGATGCCTCCTTGAAGATGTGCATCTTTGCGTGAAGCGCACGGATTCCCTGGGAGAGCGAATTGATATTTCGGTATTGTGCACGGAGATTGTCCTTGTTGGGCGAAGCTGTTGGTAGCGGAGAAGGCGGGATGACATCACCTGGCACGATGATTAGCTCTGGCGTGGATTCTGTTGAAGGAGTGGTACTTACGATCGTCCTCGTTGAGGATGTTGGTCATCTTGTGGATGTTCTCGCCGGTCACATGGGCCAGGTCCCGCATCTGCTCAACTGCCGTGGTCCATCTAGCAATATCGGACCCGCCGCCATCCGCGCCGAGCGCGAGAAGGCAACAGAGGATGCTCTTTCTCACGATGTAAAGCCTTCCGAAAAGGGTGCGAAGGGCGCGTAGAGAGTACTGATCTTCGGTGGCTCGCTCATCGAACGCTGCCTGGGCCTCCATAAGCTCCTCCTCTGATATATCGTAGATATCGTAATACTTGGCGAGGTTGGTGGCATCGGTAAGTGGGCGTAGGGTATGTTGGGCCCGGATGTACTGGCCTAGCATGAGATAGAACGACTCCGACACAGTTCGGCGCAGTCTCAGACATCGTCGCGTTTGCGTCTGATCTTCGAGTCGGCTTACTGGGGGCAACGGTGTGCTTCTACTCGATAGATTAGTGATCTTTGTCAGCCAAGCTAGAAGTCAGAGCAACTTACATGCGGTAGCCTCTTGAGACCAACTCAACCTCCTGTATGAATACAACCGATGCGGAAGCGGCAGAGTCAAACCCTTGAGCGTTGCTGATAAAAGTCACAGCTGCGTCAACAGCTTGATGACGCAAATATTTAAGCCACTGTCGCTTGGCGAATGCATAAAACAGAACCCCAATTACAGGCACGAGAACCAACAAAACTCCGACTTTCCGAGGGTTAAGACCAGACGAGGTTCGAGACCGGCTCCAATGTAACAACCAAGCTACGGAGAAAGAAGTCGAGGCCGTGACAACAGCACCTTGTATGCCAAACGTGGTGGAGATAGATGGAAGGTCTGCTGGAAGAGCCGTAGACATCACATCTGCAGCTGATGTGTAAGAGGGCGCAGAGTGTTCGTTCAGCAGCTGAGACGCAACGATGACATAGCCGAACTGTTCCAGGAATCTTTCGTTGTCGCTTCGTCCAACGCGGGAGTTCAGAGCAGACTGGGCAGAGAGGTTCGTCAGTATTGACCGGAGCCAAGGCAATAATAGGTGGGGTGTTCATACCGTGCAGACATCATAGAGTCGACCCAGAGCTGCCCGCTGTCGCGAGACTTTCCGTTCAAGGGGCTTGGGTAGTTTATTCCGAATACGCTCCTGGAATTTCGAAACTCCTCGTGGGGCAAAATCCGCAGCCGTGGAATCGGAGAAATCATCGCTATGGTCTGTCTCCTTGACAGGCCAGTTTGGGTCGTGTTCGCCTTCCCCTGACGTATGACCAGATAAGACTTTGTAATTTCCCCCAACATATGAACCGGGGATAACTCACCCTGGAGGTAGTCCGCCAAAGGCGAGTTCTCATAGACGAGCGATTCCATGACCAGTGAACATTCCGTAATGGTGCCGATGAGAGAGGAGTCGGGGAGAAACACGGATGCTGTAAGGCTAGGAAGGGGAAACAAGGATCAAGGCGGGAAAGGTTCGAGCAATGGAGTTGAGACAGGTGTAAGATTCAAGCGCGTTCAGTTGCGAATTATCGCAAACCCATCTCCGCGACAGTCCAATGGGGCGTCCAATGGGGCGCGTGGGAAAGTCGACTCAAGGAGAGGGCAATGAAGTGGAGGAGCGAGATAGTAGTATCGAATGGGAACGGGGGGGAAGAAGAAGGGCGACGAGCTAAAGGCTAAAGCAAGTTGACTAGTTGTTGGAAATCCGAGGCGCGGCGGGTTGTAAGGGAGGGCGAGTGGATACGCAAGAGGAGTTATAGTAAGCGGGTTTAAGGCCGGCGCAGGATATACATAGCAATCTACCCCTGGCAGATGGAGACACTCTGGGTTGAGGAACAAAGAGGAAGCCCGAACGACGGTGCCTGTGCAGCGGCCACGTTGAAGATCAGACCATGTGTGTGTCTGGGGAACTGGATTGCCTGCGCTTTCCTCTTTTTCTGCTCGAATCGGAGCTGGCGCTGCTCCGACGCCCGCCCGGCCTTGTCCGTTTCCTTTTTCTCTTTACCTGCAAACCAGAAATCCCTAACTAAGAATAGGCGCCCCCCCACCGTTTCGGTGGGCTTTTTTCCCTCTTGTGCGAATCAATCAGCTCGATTCGATCTGGCCGATTATTCCTACAGGGCACTGCTAATCTCTTTTTCCATCCAGTGAGCGCTCGCGATGGGTTACACCCTCAGGCTTACCCAACGGACTCAAACGGTGATCACACAAGTTAGTTTGCGAGGGGATGATCGCAAGTCTGTGCTTTGACTTTTCCCCCCATTAACCAAAACTTGGGTGGAACTGACGTCTTGTGAACTACGGCAGACCGAGGTTTCAGCATCGAGCATATGTTGGAGCCCGCGTGGGATCTCGGATGTCACCATTATTACCCTCGGGGTACACATTTAAACGGCTTGTTTCATGTTGCTCGGATTTGAGGCAGCCTCGGAGCATGGCTCTTTATGGCTAATACCCAAGAATTCAAACATTGGCATAGGATTTATTGATGCTGCATTGAGGTTGTTTCAAGTGGCTCGTTTCCTTTTAACGACAGGACAGCCTACTCATCATCACTACAGACTGGCACTGGATCTCGAGAGAAAATGACAAGGTAAGACAGAGGCGGCCAACTCGTCTCTCACTGCAGCCTACTGCACATTGCCACATATATCTTTTCAACTTCCATGTTTCCTTGCCATCTGCACATGCACCGTGCCTAATGAGGATCCTGGTCGGACCCTACAGCATACAGGGGGCAATTTCGCTGTGGCGCAAGTAGTTAATATGCAGCTTTACGTCTCCTTGCACTATCAATTTCGCCGTCTTCGCCATCGGGATAGTAATGCTCCATAGATTAAATATCTACTACTCTGTACATAGGGATGTTAAACGAATACGAGGGGATGCTGTTTGTGCAGCAACAATTTATTTAGTTACTCCTCAGTGGACACCGTTGGAGCTTTGTATGTGATCGACATCTAACCTAAAAGAGACTAAAATTGTATTCTAGAAAAGTAGTCGGTGGTTGCATCGGACCTTGAAGAATGTGGAGGGCTACGTTAAGTAGCACCCACAGCGAGTCACCTAGTGAAGGATGTTCAATGACCTTGGCCAGACAGGAACAAACTGTGATTGAGAATGTCTCGATTTGCCATCCATGATGGCTGCCTAAGGTGTCAACCCCCTTCCCGTTGCACGGGCAACGCAGCGTCAACATCGCGTCTCCATACCTCAGACCCATCCTCGACCAAACTTTCTATGACTTAGCCTCGATCTCGCCCCCGAAGCTTGACAGGTCATCCCATCATATAACTTGAAGGCCTTCTTCGACCTTTAATGTCAACTGAATCTTAGCTCTCAGCCGAACAATTGAACCTGACACGCCAAACAGTAGTCGGGAAAGTTATTTACGATTTATCCCCATGAATAGAGGCTCCGCCTAAACATCAAGACTACTTTAAAAAGGATTCTCCTTGCAATATTCTCAATATGCCCGGCTTTTTGTACGAAGCTACGACCCCTTGCCCTTCAAGGACGAACACTTCATTCTTCAGCCGGGGCAGCAACAGAAGCTCGTCCGACAGCATGTGGGAAGATAGTCTGGGTAACTGGGACGATACTGCTAACATCGAGTTCACGACCGAAATTAAACAGTCTGTACTTACGGGGGCCAGGCCCAGAAGACGGACCAAGACAAGTACATCCTTTGCTATTCACGAAGACCATGGAGAGAATCCTACACAGCCGGCATACAAGCCGAAGCGGGATTCGAGCATAGCAGCACCGACCACGAGCCGCAAAACATCCTTACTTGCGCAGCCAGCTCAGAGATTTCGTCCCAAAATCAGCTTTGGCCCGAGCCCAGACACGCAGTCGCGTCAAGATGGTTTAACTCACCAGTCACCAAGTAAGAGAACGGACACAGAGAAAAACAACGCGCTTTTGATGCGCATCAATGGAGCAGATGGCCAGGAGAAGGCAAGAAATAGCTTGAAGACGGATGTACGCCGTAACACGGTTTATATTCCCGCGGATGACGGTACAGTGGCCAGTGTATTCATGGGTCTCTTCAGCCCGCCCAAGTCGGACAATTTGGACAAGTGTATCAATGGAGATACTCAAGTCAACAGCTTGGAGTCACAGATTGCTAAGAAGCGACAAGCCAAACGATCTTTCGCATCGTCTGCCCAACGGGCTCCATTGAAGCCAAGCTCTAAAGTAATGCAGGAGTCCTGCATTCATCACGACATTGCCGGGAAGAATGGCGGAAAGGAGAATGTGCCTCCAGGAACAGTTATCGCTGAAGGCAAGAAAATACATCAGGCCCTGAAAGCCAAGGAGGATTCGGGAAACCGCCTAAATTCTCCTCTGATGGCAGCTAGAAGAGCTGGTGCTACCAATGCCTCTGCAAAGCCTACATCCAAGCCTCTATCCACCAAGACGAGCAACACTCAGCAAAGGAGCAATGTACTGAGCAACAGCCAAAACACCACTAAAGCACGACAGAGAAAATCCGAGCACAATAGCACCATGAAGCCAAGTTTGACATCAGACTACAACCGAAACGCTTCTACACGAACCTCAAATCTATCTACGTCACCGAAGCCATCAAAAACAAGCATAGTATCCAAATCGACTACATCGCGTAACAACACGAAGCCTATTGCGAAGGATTGTCCAGTTGTTTCAGACAACATCACAAACCCGGCACTGTACGAAGAGAATTGGCTCTCGCACCAGGAGGTGGCAATAACACAGTTGGTCAATGAAATGTTCCAATGTACTTATGAGGAGCCAGAAATCGACAACCACGCCATGCTTCGGCATGAGCTCCTCACCTTGTACCAGGGAGCATCTTTCGCACACCTCCACAAACGTCTTCAAGCATCATCGTTATACGGCGCTTTGAGTATACCAAAAGACGTGCTCACGCGCAGTAGCCGTCTTCACAACGATCTGGGTTTGAAACGGAAGTTCTTGGATATTTGGATCAAGACCTACGACCTGCGAGCATTGCGAGCCGCGGCGGAAGCAATCATTGGAAGGAAGATACCCACCTCTAAGTTGGTTCATGGAGACGATGCCTCGGATAATGACAGGGCGATGAAACGAAAGTTGGAAGGATTCCTGGATGCATTCTTGTTACGAAACCAGGATATTGACCCTCAAGAAAAGATCGCTGCTGGAGAGAATGGCGGTGCAGCTGGCCAGGCATACCGTCGGACTGTTCTTCGAAGCATGATGATGGTTGTCCTTCTGGACAAAGCGAGAATGGGCCATGGGACAGCCGTTCCGCGACGCCTTTTCCTCTCTTCGTCACCTGTCAAGTCCTCTAGTGCGGTGCTCCAGGCACTGGGTCGGTTCTTGCTGCCATCGTGCGGAGACATCATCAAAGCATTGAGCCACTTGGGCTGCGAATTGATGTATGAGCAGCATCCATTGGAAGAACATGACTACCGGGTTGACAACCTTGCCGTAGATCTTCGGGACGGTGTGAGGTTGACAAGGATTGTGGAATTGTTATTCTATCCTTCAACCTCATCCGGTGAAGTGTCAAACGGAAGTTTGCCGCTTTCGAGTCATCTGAAGTTCCCATGCAGGAGCCGCACGGTAAAGCTTTTTAACATTCAAATTGCCTTGGATGCGCTGGCTTGTGGCCAAGAGACAAGGAAGCTCGCGAAAGACATACGCGCAGAAGATATCGTCGACGGACACCGCGAGAAGACCATTGCGTTGTTGTGGAAGCTGGTCAGCACATGGAGCCTTGCTGGGCTAGTAGACTGGGGGGACGTCAAAAAGGAGATTCAAAGACTGAGGCAGAAAGTTACTTTCCAGGCTGGTGAAGATGGCATGCCATTGAGCGGGGATGATGAGAGCGACGAACCAACCTTGCTGCTCAAGCAATGGGCATCTACCCTTGCACATCTCAAGGGCGTACCGGTTGACAACCTGAGCACGAGCTTCAGCGATGGCAAGGTATACGAAAGTATTGTTGACGAATACGACGGATATCTCGTGGAGCATGCCGAGGATCATAGCAGAACAGCATCTCTAGAATCGCGTCTGCGGGCATTGGGATGCAGTGCAGAATTCGGTGAGTTTACCAATGACTTTACTCCCTCCATAGCGACTAACATAGGCCAGCCAAACTCGTGTCTCCCTCTTCAAAGTCTCATATCGTCGACAGCGACTTCACAATCGGAGCACTCGCGTTCCTCTGTTCGCGGCTTCTGCCAGCTACGAAGCGCGCGCGAGCTGCGACAGTAATCCAGACAGCATGGCGACGGATCCTGACGCGTCGAGATGATGAGCGCCGAGTCATCGCAAGGGATATTGCCAGACAATGCGCTGCAGTTGTACAAACACAACACCGAATTCTCTGGGCGAAGGAGGTGATTGTACGGTGGTGGAGGCTGACTCGAAGTCAACAGCATGGTCGAGTAGTTGCTGCATATGCCTACGAGGACAACCAATATCTATGAACGCGAGTCACCATACGGGGATAGGGATTGTTGCACAATTCAGATGGTTTCTACAGCTCAGAGGTCCAAGTGCAGCACTACCGTTTAGTTTGTGTATTCAGACAATAATTTATAATTCATAATTCCAATCACGCAGCATCACCCCCCACATAGTGAAAGACACTTAGTCGCTACGTAACACCCCCTGTCCCCTGGCATCATAGCCCTTTAGCCAGATCATCACCCAACTAGTACCTAAACACTATCTATGAGAGTTATTACATATGGGCATCCAACACCCAACACCCAACCACACACCCCCAGAAGCCTTATCTATCGATCTCCCAGGACAACTAAAAAAGAAGCAAATATAGAACTACGGATACGAGGATGAGATCATTACTCAACATGATTATGTACATGAAGCATCATAGTAGATAACTAGTAGATAATAAGTTAGTGGGGGTTTGATAGAACCGATCATATCACAACTTAGTACTGTCCGGAGTAAAGTACTTGCTTTTGTCATAGTATATACCCAACCAAGTCACTACTTACTACCTATTGACCCAACTACATACTATGTATATCCTACACCCCTTGCTTATTATATTTGTTAGTTTATTTAGTTTGGAGTAGTAGTTGATAATCTGTCTTATGTACATACTACATAGGGAATTATGTATGCGTGTATGCGGTATGCAATTGGTGAAGAAGAAAGCCATGACGACAAAAGTCTGCAGCGATATACATTATACTAATTTACTACAGTAGTTGGTAACTTGTATGATGGTGATAAAAATAAATCCATACTATATATAAAATAAATGATGCCATAATAATGAATATATGCATCTGCCTATTTGCTCGACTCCTTGGCAACTACTGTAGTTTAGTTACAACCTTGTACATATCTGGGATGGCAACCATGGCAATCAAAAATCAAATTACATTAGTTGTTTACATCTGGAAGATTTCAAAGGATAATTACCAGGTATTAAGATAAAGTAGAAAGCTGAAATCAAAATTGAATTGAATATTACTTACATACATTATTTGTGACTTAGTAAGTAATAGTAATCATTATAATCGTTGATAAAAGTAAGATTTTCTAACGATGATATGCTTATGCTTCATGTTACATTAACTGTTACAGTAGGGTGTACCTACCTACCTACCTAGTAGTAGTAGTTAAAGGTATCGCTTACGTGGGAGAGAGATCAGCCAGCCAGCCATCCATTCATCCCACACACACGGGAGGAGATGGAGGGAGAGAGAGTTTGTCGAGGTGAACTCGTATGATGTCACTGGTTTTTTGTTTTGGTCGCAGCTGACGAGGAACTTAGTTAACTACTACTACTACGTACAAAGTAACTACAACATGTACTTGTAGTTGGCTGAAGTATGATGTTATTCATTATTCATTGATTAATTTACCAATATTAATTTAGATGTTGCCTGTTGTCAGTGGGTTTCGGTGGTTGGGATATTTAAAGAAAATGACGTCGGTTGAGCATCTGCCATCTGCCAGCTGAAGCGGCCGATCGCATTTTCCCCTCCCTCCTCTACGAAGTATGACCGAGGTAGTATTGGGTATCCTCCTCGATGATATAATGCTTCCGATGATCAGATGCTGTTCTTGAATCAGAACGACGAATCCGGAGAGTTGAGAGTAGCAGCAGCAGCCCTGCGGGGAAAAGGAAACAACAGACGTTCGAGAAGATTACTGGAAGCGGCAACACACGCCTCCTCTTTTCTTATTCTCTCTCTTGTCTCTCCACCTTCCCCCAGTCCGATGACCAGATCGATCGCCAACGGGCTTTGGCTTCCCCTCCCTTACGCCGTACAGTAGTCTCGCTGCAAAGGGCCCTGCAGTGCATTGGTACCGGCCTGCTGGTTGGAGTCCCGGTAGACTATATGTACCTGTGCTGGCGTGAACGAACTTTAATCGCGGGGTTGTTATTGGCAGAACGGCCGGTCCGCCATCAGGAGATTCATTCCTCTCTGGCGACCCTTCCTGAGAAAAGAGCGGTCGATCGCCGGCTCGGAGGGAATTGCGAGATGCTCTTTGCTGGCCGGAGTTGCTATTCTTCCGGATCAGCGGAGAGGAAGTAAGAAAAGGGGTATCTTAAACTTAGTCCGTATTGCAATGAGGCTTAGACAGACACACACACTCTGTCTCTTGGTATCGACTTGCTCCCGTGGACAATCGGTGACGTGCAGACAGACGTGTCCGAGGACCTGGACAGCTTGTCTTCTTCCAAGCCCCCTTAATTGGGTACGTCTAATCGATTCAAGCTGCAACATAGCCTAGTCGCTCTCTCTTTCCCCCTGAGCAAACTTCGACGTGGTCATGCTTGGTATTCGTTCGCCAAGAACTCGTCCTGCAATATAGGAGCAGATGATCGACGAAGATCTCCCACCTTCCGGGGGGTGATACTCCTTTTCAGACCGGCCAGTATCTACTTGGTGCTCTTGAGATGCTTCCCCCCATCCTCCTCCATCCCACAGCCGCAGTCATTCGCCCAAGTATTTGGAATGGCGCTTGGCATCCTTGGCCGGTCACCAACTCAACGCGGGATCCTCTTGGACCAGTTGCACCGGGGAGGCAAGGAGGAGGAGGAATGTGTCGACGGCGGACCGTAGGTCGGTCGCTGTAGCTCCGGACTCCGGGAAAGACCGGAGACCGACCACTCTCTCACGCCGATGGGGGGTTCTAGCCAGAAGCTCATTCCACCGCAACAGGCGTCGTTCGCAACTTGGCTGTGATCATCTTGGCGACAATTCTCCGTCGTACCGGGGGCAAGGTCACAGGACGTTGCCAAGAACTGCAGTGGAATGTCCAGAGGGGAGGGATGAGTACTGAGCAAGGGGCAGTCGAAACGGGGACCACTCGGTTTTTCAACTCCGCCTCTCAAGTGAAGGGATCCCCATTCTTCATGGTTGCATGGGGTGAATTGTATATGCCTTGGCTATCTTGGCGGCCCTCTTGGCCGTCTCAGTCGGAATCATGACTCTTCCAAGAGGCTGTGATGTCTGTGATGTTGAAGGTTTCGGGTGATCCGCTGTGTCTCCCCAACCCAGTGTGGTATGTCGATCATGTGCTCAATGATGAGAGCATTGCCATCCCTTTGAAGAACTGGGCTCGATGCTGCCACTGACACATTCTAGACGTTTGCCTACCACGGTAAGATTTCGACGTGCAGCCCGGCCCGTCCTGGAGTACTTGGGTTCTGGATCTTCATCCACCTTTGCAATGGCTTTGTTCTTTGTTGTCTCTTCTTTTCTTCATCATGACTGAAGCAAGGGCGTACCCCCATGTGCGACTAGATTACTGCATTAGCGACCATCTTATCTTCCGTGTACCCGATACCTGGTATACGGGAGGTATGGTAATTGTGGTTACCTGAATCGAAGCGAGGAGGAGTAGGCTGAACGTCGACGACGTTCTGAATCCTTCCATGACTGACCATGCCATGCGCTCAGTCATGGGCTCGGAGTGTGGGAGGCGCACTTGCATATGTCATGACGGCAGCCTCGTTTTTTATCCGCATAAAACCCATGGATGGGATGTCTGATGTCTGGGGGTGGGTTTAGCTCAACAGCCAGGGGAGTCGACAATGATTTGCCAATTGACCGAGTCCAAGACCCCGATCCATCAATCACGATGGTTGTACGGGGTACAGATGGACAATGCCGGGTCGGCGGAAATGAAGCTGGCTGTCGCACGGCTAGCTGACCATGAGACAGGCAAAAGGCACCTTGTTGCCGTGCCGGACTGGCGAGTCGCTGGGACTTTTTTTCTGGGGCATGGATTACTCGATTGGGTGCGTCGTGCATCGCAACTTGAAGCCGGCGCGAATCCAAGCGCGAGTCCCGTGCTGGTGGAGAGGGCAAGAGGAGGAGAAAGCCATCGACGGTCCAGTCAGCGTCGTTAGGACATCGACCTAGGGAGAATAAAATCCCTCATACAAACCGCTCTTAGGCCGACGTCGGCCATTAAGGTACAAGGCTCTAACTCTTAGTCGCCTTAGCTGCAGGCCAATGACACCACCGCAGCAGGACTTTTGATCCTGGGCGCGGAGGTCGATAAGCGGACGTATTAATCCTTAATCCTATTCCTGGGTAGCTCAGTCGGTGTTTGTTAGGTTAATGCTATTCTTATCCGGCGTTGATCCCGGCGTCTGTCTGCCTGTCAACCTCTCACAGTAGCAGTAGCAGTTATACCATAGCACCGCGCCGAAAAAAGTGGCCCTGAGGCATCCGCCCACCAAAGAGACAATCCCATTCATGCTCTCTGGTCTGTTCGTCTCCATAATCGATCTCATGGCGGTCCACTCGCACGCGCGACAGTTCAGAATCTCCACCAGGTGTTGCTGGTGGTTCGATCATCAATATGCAAGCTAGCATAGTAGCCATCCTATCCCAAAAAAGGCTGGGGGAGGAAGAACTGGATGGGGTTGAGGACGGTTGTTCGTATGCCACATAGCATTTCCTCTTCCGGGTGGCCGGTGACCATCGTGGTGGCAGACTCTACCCTGCCTACTGTACAAACTTCTTGTTTCCCTTGTCCTCCTGTAAGAGTCGCCTTTGAAGTTTGGGTTTCAATTAAGATTTTATTTTATTTTATTTTATTTTTTTTCCCCTTCCTCATTATTTCCTTTTTCTTCGTCGGGTTTTGCTTGCCTCCCCTCGGCCATGCCGTTCAGCCAGAGATCTTCAGCTCTTCAATGAACATCGAAAGTTTGCACGCTGTTCACGAGCACTTGGAAAGATGGTTGTATATAGTTTATATTTCTTATTCTGTTTTTCCTTTCCGTCGCCGGTCGGAGTTTAATTGCGGAAACTCTGTTTCAATCTTGGCTTCTAGGCCGCGTAGCACATAGACCACAGTATGTATCCGGAACATAAGTATACATAAGTCGCATGTACCTTGTATCTTGTTCTCGATCCAAGTGCGGAGAGTCCGTGTTGGCGGCCATGGATGAGGATCCTTCAGAGGGGACTGAGTGTGCGTGTGAGTGTGGTAGCCAAGCATGGGGTCGCTAAAAGGTCGCATTTCCTTCCCCCCCAACAGCGGCATATGCAATGTGTAACGGGGGTGAAACTGGCGCTTCAACCCTCACCGTAAGCAACAATAACAACCAGCATACTTAGTTGAATGAACCAGGGCCGGAAAGCCCAAAAGGGCAATTGGAGTCGTAAGACTTCACGAGGTAACGAAGGATCGTGTAAATGGGCCGACCCCGTTGGTTCGTGAAAGCAGTAAGTTAGTACTACTACTAACTCCAAGGACTGCCAGTGCCGATAGTTAGTCTAGTTAGTACTTCCCCAGCAGTTTTTTTTTTTCCTTCCTATTCCCATGACTGGCTGAGATTTGGATCGATCCTGATTGCTGGGATCGAGGATAAAAGCGGGCAAAAACAGCAAAAGAAAAGTACTCCCGAGACGCGCAGATTGGCTGCTGCGATTGTGGGAAGCTGCATCTCCCGGAGCAGCCATGGCACTGAGTGGGGGTTATCCCTGAATCGCATGAAGCTTGTCCCAGCACTTCAAGGCTTCGTAAATCGTGAGGCGTTTGGTAGTAGTCTAGCTGGGCCCCCCCATCCTCAGCGACCGTGAATTGTGCAGGTTTCTGATTGTAAGCCCGTTGGTGTTGGAAGTGGATGGGGGTGGGAATAGCCCGCTCGATGGTCTCCGCTTTGGAGATCGCTACCGTGGTTCTGAGTTCGGTGAACCGCCGCCCGGCTGTCAGTCATTAGAGAGAAAAGTGATGCAGTTTGGGTCTCTACACTGTAGTTCTCTGGTTCTGGCGCTGACCGCTTCTCTCAGCCCTTTGCCATCGGGCATAGATCTGGTCATCATCACCATACTGCTTTTTGCCCTTCTTCCCTGTCTCCATTCTTCCGGAGATACTCTATCCACAACTCAATCCAGTCTGGGAAAGACGGCACGATCGTTTGAAGGGAAGAATGGGATCTGAGATGCAGTTTTGATCGTTTCCAGTCCGGATTTGGGGGTGGTCTTGGCACGGGTCTCGTATGTACGGCGTATGTATGAGCATCGGTCTGTATGTATGGATACCAGGACGATCCCGATGGGTTTTTCCTTCTTCCTCTTGCGCTCTCCCCTTCCCATCACTGCCACCCGCGCTGAGGTTTGCTGAGCCTTCCTTGTCGGACATGCCTAATTCTAAACTTAGTGGCCCCCAAGGCTGAGATCCTAGAGATAAACGGACAAGTTGCTGGTGGATGAGACGAAACTCTATCTCCAGAATTGGCTGCTACCTGGGTGACCATCCCTGGGATGATCACTGTGGAGTTACCCGGGGGGAAAAACAAGAACTCGGCTGTCAAACCACCAGCGACAAAACTATCCCAAGATCGTGCTATTGTTTGAGGAATCCATTGAACAATGAGCCATGACTACTAGTTCCAGTCCTTATTTGCATAGTTCAGATCTAATCTGGTTATTTCTGGCAACACTGGTCCGATCATCTTGAGTCCAAATATGTTGTACAGCCAAGAGCCAACTATTCCCGCCCAGACCGACTGTCACTTCCAGCTGTTGTCAATCGGGTGGCGGTGCTTCTAGTCAACAACATACTTGGGAGTTCTGTAGCATGGCTTGAGGTTCCCATATACTACTCATCATTCTCATTTGGACCGATCTAGGTACCAGCTTTCCTGGGTACGGTTATCGGAACCAACCTTGAGAGCTGAGCGTGGCAGATCGAAGACATGGAAACCACCTGCTTTGTCCCATTGCCAGTCGCTGTAACCTCAAGCAAACTTTCCGGGACTCGAGAGCGTCATGATCGATCCTGGTCACAGTCGGGGAATTTTTTATTCTCTTGGTTCTATTGATGTGGTAGCCGTTGTAATGTAGTACTCTGGGGTAGAGTTGGTGCAACTGAAGAGTTGTTCAGTTTAATTCACCTCGTCATAGCACGGGGATAGGGGTCTAGTCGGTCCGAGAAACTGGGATAGAATCGTCGAGACTTCTCTCGCAGTTGGTTCGCAGTTCCCAGTGATGTCTGTAGCAAGCAAGCAAGTTTGTCGTTCTGGCCCGCATTCATCGGCATCGCACAAGTTTCTCCTACTACTGCTTCAGACTGAGATAACCTTCAAGACTGCCGTGACACAGCATGACTAGGGGGAAACCTTACGTCACAGGGCCAAGACCATCGCTTTCCGGATCAGGAACCACCAGATTTAAGCCCAGCTAGGGAAAGTCTCGGCAAATGCAATAGTGAGCAATGACAAGAAATACCAAGCATTGTTATTGGGATTGTAAAACAATAATGGCGACCAGCAGGGGGGAAAGGGAGGCAGTGTTTTGAAGGACTTGAATTGTTGTCACTTTGTCTAGTCTTTGAGAATGAGGCGTGGTGCCAAGCACCACATTGGTAGCACTATAATGGTGATTGTCTTCTGGGTGTTATCTTGGCCTCCCTAACGAACTTACCATAGTAGTCTACTTTTGGTGTGCTGGGTGTGTATGGAGTAGGTAGGGTGGGTGGCATGCACTCCTGGAGCTGCGACCGACCAAATCAAGTCGGAAGAGGTAGCTACGCCGAGGAACCTAGTTTACCTTAAGAAACCACTTTCACGCATAAGCAGCGCATAAGTGAGCCGGCTGATGGGGTTTGATGCTAGGCTTAAATCAATGCTAGATGCAATATTTATGTGTGGCCATTCAAAGCTCAAGGGTTACTGTGTATTAAGCCCAACAAAGCGCAGCGCCCGCTGAAACGGCTTCGGCGCGACTCCGACGGGGTTCGTTTTGGTCCTCCCACGCTCAAGTTGTCGGGTCTGCTTGCCGTGGTCACCCTCGTAATTACCCTGGCATTACCTGCCCCGACGGTCGGTAGGGCAACTTTCCCACACACAACAGTCGCAGCTCGTGCCGCTATGATGCCTGTCCTGGCTCCTGCGCTGTCTTGTCCTCGTGGGGGTTCATTCTTTCTCATTGAGTAGCCGCCCTCCTTGTCTGACAGCCTTTCTTTGCTCTGGACCTTCCGTTATTCGCTGTCTTGTCTTGAACCCTTGAGATTTGTACGACATTCCGATCAGATAAAATATCCTCTTCGCTGAATATGTTCTAGAAAACAAAGAATGGATCACCCCCTTACTTTTCAGTCTCTGGTTCTTCGGCCACTACTCTAGTTTTCCAAGACTCTTAGTGTAGATGGAGGGGGGGCGATGTTTTTTTGGTGGCAGCTTTTCCCAATTTAGACTACACAGTAAGTATGGTCTGGGATGATTTCTTACTGACCGGGTTAGTAAGATCGAGGTTAGCCCGCCTTGGTAGCCAACCTCCAAAATGCCTCATAGTCTTTCTTGCTTTTTGTACTTCGGTGCTGGCTTGCCCACCATGGATGAAACCGGCTCGTTACAAAACCGGTGACTCCTGAATCAGGTCAAAGGAACAACAGTCATCTCGCAGATCATAGCAGACAATGAGATCCGTGATCCTCAACTAGAGATTCCTTTGAATGACTCTTCTCCAATCCTTTATGACTCCTAAGCCTCTTCCCTCCATGATGAGTTCTTTTGCTTGACGGTAACTCCCTCTAGTAAGTAACCTGACGGGTGTGTATTGACGGGCGTGCGAAGATTACCACGGTATTGGTACTGGCCAGCGTCACGTAGCCGCAGGAACCGAAGCATGCATGGATTTGGCGAGGAAAACGACAGGGTGGGTCTGGGCTTGGCGGGGTTGGTTGGACCGAGCGCCTCTCGTCCGCCTGCAGAAGGAAGGAAAAGAAGCCCCAGAGAAGATCCGAAATTGTAATCGTGGGTAATGGGCGTGGTGCTCTTTTTTGTTTTTCCACCATTTTTCCCTGCCCTCCTTCGGCCTTGCCCTGCCGTGCCAGTGTGTGGCGACCACTCCTGACCACCCTAACCCGGTCACTCGCTCCCAAACCTGGCGCCGCTCTCCCGCCTCTTTTACCCTGCGAATCGTCATTTACTACTCGCTGACACTGCGCCTTTTTACCCGCCCTCCTTTTCGCTGGTGACTCTCTAATACCCCGTTCATACGCAGTACTGAGGGTATGGTAACAATACCACGGCGACAACCCCCGAGGATTTCCTTGGGATTTTGATTTTTGATTTTTGATTTTTCTTTTAATAATAAATTTTCGATTTTTGAATTTTTATTTTTTATTTTTTATTTTCGCCTTTCCGCAAACCACTTCCCCCCCCTCCCTTAATTACATTTTTATTTTCCGATCATCTCTACATTCCTCCTTCTCTTCATCTCAATCCCACCTAGCACTGCCAACACATTGCACCTGCGAAACTCTTTCGACGCGTCTTCTTCTTCTGGCGCTCTTTGAGCTGCCAATCTTTGAAGAAGGCGTAAGTCCATCTCTTGGCCGCATACCTGACGCTCTTCTCCTTTTCTTGGACCTACTAAACTACTATACTACGCCTCTTTCCTACTACTACACCATGTGTTCTATATCATGACAATCATCGTCCTACTAAGGACACCCTTCATTTCCGCCCTCTGGGTCGATCAGTAGTACTATTGATCGATAACGAGAGTGCATCTTCTATTTTACTCTTTTGATTGATGCAATTATTCTTCATTCTTCTCTTCCCTATCAACCAATACGTCTGAATACCCTCATAATAACTACTTACCGCCACCATCCCGTCGAGTCACCCTATACTACCGCCAACCCTCCCACATAACCTCTTGACACAACCTCTCTCACCTACTCGTTCCTGTCTTCCCTCTCACTATTAATATACCTAATCTTCGAAGGGATGGCGCACTTGCGTGGTGGTGAACGAACATTTGCCTCAATACATAACCTACTGAAGATGCTACTCTCACCTCATCAGTCCAGCAAGTCTGCCCCTCAAGAAGCTGACATGGTTGAGGACATTGATGAGCCCCCTGATCATCGGTTCTTGAATACCTCGATGAACAACATGGACGACGGTGTCGTTTACGTCAAGGCCCCCGCCGCCATGACTGACCGCAAGGAGTCCCTCCTCACCCGCGCCCTCAAGAGCAGCCCCCCACAAAGCCCATCCGACCGTCATTCACCATCTCAGGAGCACTCTTTCTACCGCTCCTACACCTATACCAACATTAGCGGCATCTCTACCGCCGAGTTGACTAGCGATGGTGGCCTCACAAGCCCTTCTCTATCCAACACACCCAGCCCGCCTCTGCCCTCTCACTTGACCAACTCCACGTCTTCGATGGGTGATAAAAGGAAGGCGGAGGCTGTGGAAGTTGGCGAGTCAGCCGTCGAGGCGAACCTGGGACGCAAGCGGTGTATCAGCTTCGCCTGCGGACGCAAAGCTCAGGAGCAGAAGCCACAAACTCCTTCACCACAGCGACCTGTCACGAAGATCAATGACGCCAGCGTTACACCAACTGAGCCCAAGCGGAGGACCGTTCTTACCTTTGTTTGCCCGGCACGGGATCCCGAGACTCGCCGGGAGCGGTCGCCACTTCGCAGTGGCTGCAGGCCGCGTCCCCGCGGATCACCTGCTCCCATGGCGCGCAAGGCCTCTCCGGAGAAGGCTGCTCCCTCACCGGTGAGCAAGGCTCCCCAGGAGCAGAAGATCGATCGCCGCGGTGTCCCGACCAAGGGGTTGGGTAAGTTCGAAGAGTCCGAGGCTACTCGCTTTCACGAATTCGCCAGCTCCGTCGAGGAGGATGACGAGTGGGTAACGAAGTCTGGAGAGTACCCGGAGAAGATTACGCTTAATGATTGTATGAAGAAGGAGAATGCCATTAGAAAGCTTGGAGAGGAAGCAGAGGAAGAGGCGCTCGAAGAAGATGACGAAGATGATGTCGAGGATTCTGATGACGATTCAACCGTTCACGACTTCTCTTCTGACGATGGAAATGAATCGGATAATGAAGCCGGCTTTGCGGAGTCAGACGAGAGCGATGATGGTTCGGAATACGATTTCTGGGCTCCGACCAGCACTACTGCTGCCACCAGCCCTCAAAACATCGACATTGCTCGCCTCCCCTTCAGTCGTCGCGACTCGAACACATCTTTCGATTCTGCCAACGATGTGCAGCAGCAGCAAAGATGGTCACCTGTCTTAGCTGCTAAGACAACTAGCCGATCGCCCATGAAGATCCCAAAGCTGCGTCCTGGCACACCTAACCTTCCTGACAGTACGGACTTCGTCTGCGGAACTTTCGACGAAGATCGGCCTCTGGAGGCTGCCTACAAGTCTTGCATCGAGCAGCGCCGTCTTTCCAAGCAGATTGTCATCCCTCAAGATATCGATCCCAGCTTTCCCACCTCGGATCCCGAGGATGAGGAGGATGAGGACGACGATGTCGAGGAATCTGTCATGGATGAAGGACCTCGGGGACGGACTGGTAGAGACTCTGCGCAGAAGCCTTCTCCTCGCACATCTCCCAGACGCATGATTTCACCTCCGCCTCGCCGTCAGGGCCGTTCCTCGCCAAAGCGTCTTCGCTCTCCGCCGCCGCCGATGAAGCTGCGGTCTTCGAAGGATGACCTGGCATCTGCAGACGAGGCTCCTACTGTCCCCTCGCGGGGACTGAACATCAGTGAATTGGTGCAACGGCCCGCGATGTCTCGTACCAAGTCCTTGCCTCGGACGCCCAACCCTTTCTTTACTAGCCTGGACAAGTCTCACCGCTGGTCTGGCATTGTCCCCGTTTACGAATCGCCGGAGCGCGAGTCGTCACGCACCCGTGAGGTGCACACCAGAGGCCCCATTGATATTGTTGAGGGTCTCGAGAAAAAACGCCAGAAACGCAAGGAGAAGTTCTGGCGTCAGCATTGCCGCAAAGCTGCCAAGGAGCAGATGGTACGGCGACCGATCCCCGGAAAAGGTGCTGAACGGATGAAGGAGCTTGGCCTCGAAGTTGCAGAGAGGTGCAGAGCTTACGGCGTTGGAGAGAACGCCCAGCTCGTCCTATCTGTTTAGACCTCAAATTCCGCACGGGATTCGATAAATTCTTGTACATAGTTCGAATTTTTCTTATCACCCTTTCAGTCGTCCACTTTCCATGATCAGTGGATCGACGAGGTGTACAAATCCCAATTGAGCGTTGTTCGCTACACCCTTGTCTTCGATGTTACTATTCTTGTCCTCACAACGTGTCCATCGGATTCCTATTCGCACGGAGGGTCCCGTCTGCATTTTACAGGGGTGGCTTCCTGTGATTCTTTCTTTTCGCCTGTCCCCCTTTCTCTTCGCCCTTCCCACTATACATAGCTTGTTTATACCTTTCTTTCTTCCTTTCCTTTCATTTCTTCCTTATTCACCTCCGCGCTGCTGAGCGGCGGATTTGACTTTCGGTCGGCATCATTGCTCTGTTAGCCCGGGTTGCATGGAGGCGGTTTGCTACGCGTATACCCCGTTTGCTTTCGTTATCGAATTTGTAGATACTGAGCGAATGACTGTGTCATTAAATATGCCAACGTATGATGAACTTTTTCTTTCCGCATATAACTGGACGATTGTGTAAAAAAAAGAAATGTAATTCATAGTAGTTGTTCCAACGACTCGATCGGGGCGGATGATCTCCCGGCGGCTGAGTTGGCTTAAGCGCTCGGCTAGGCGTTCGGGCAAGCGAAAGTCCAACGTCAACTGTCGGCCACCGCAACCTGGCTCCTTCTCCTGCTCTTATCTCCAGCCCAGCCGTTCACCACCGCCATTTGGCCCATTTTGCACCTGCCTCGTGCTACTACCCGATTCACAAATCCATCGTCTGAGGTTTTGAGTCGATTTCCACCATGTGGCTCATTAACTGGTGTAGGTAGTCCCCTGTTTTGCCATCCGCCGACTTGGCCCCGATCAGGTGGTCTGTAGACCTGCCCTCCACGCCATGTTGGATCCATTGACTCTCCATCGTCTTTCCTCTTGTTCTCTGGGTCTCTTGTGTGCCAAGTTACTGATATATTATTCTCGAATAGTCTACGATATTCTGGCCTCCCTTGGCCTGCTCAACAAGCACGCCAAGCTCCTGTTCCTCGGTCTCGATAATGCCGGAAAGACGACCCTCCTGCACATGCTGAAGGTATGTGAGCTCCATTGCTTTCGCGAGCGAGCCTCGCTTTGGTGGCGACGACGGCAGATATGACAACGCATGGGATGGACTTCGATCGCAAGGGATTGCCACCACGGCAGGGATGGGCTGCGAGGGAGCTGAACGATAAGCTGACATCTGTGTTTGATGATAGAATGACCGGGTTGCCATCCTCCAGCCCACTGCTCACCCGAGTACGTATTGCCTACATGACCATGCTAGCGAGAGACTATGCGACAGCGACCGGAGGAAACTGGATATCGCGGACAAAGGCTAATCGCACTCCTTTCAATACAGCATCCGAAGAGCTCGCCATCGGCAACAACCGCTTCACTACCTTTGACCTGGGTGGTCACCAGCAGGGTGAGTAATATACCTCGTAGCCCCGTGGTATAGAGCAAAATCAGAAAACTAAATGTAGCAACTCTCGTCAAATAGCTCGTCGTCTGTGGAAGGACTACTTCCCCGAAGTTAGCGGTATCGTCTTCCTCGTTGACGCCAAGGACCACGAGCGTTTCCCCGAGTCCAAGGCCGAGCTCGACGCCCTCCTTGCCATGGAGGAGCTGGCCAAGGTTCCCTTCCTGATCCTCGGAAACAAGATCGATCACCCCGATGCTGTTAGCGAGGACGAGCTTCGCCACCAGCTTGGATTGTACCAGACCACGGGTAAGGGCAAGGTCCCTCTTGAGGGAATCCGGCCCATTGAGGTGTTCATGTGCAGTGTTGTTATGAGACAGGGTGAGTGGAAATTTGATGTCCCAGTCGATGTCAATGAGCTAATCGTTCTATGCTATGTAGGATACGGTGAAGGTATCAGATGGCTGTCTCAGTACGTCTAAGCTAGCCAGCCAACCAGCTAGCTGTTGACTTTATTGTTGCGATATATCCCGACTACTCTTTTTTGTTCCCCTCTCCACCTACTCTCGATGACTCTGTCCTAAACGAAATCTTCTCAGTCTCCCTCCGAACCCTCTTTAGGGGGGTGTAGGATCTCCATATATCCCAATCCAATCCAATCCAATGCAGTTCAATGAAATGAACTCTACTCCGTCCAATCAGACAGGTCATCAAAACTGCCTGGAGGAAAGTACTCGCCACTAGGCATAATAGTTCCCATGACCCATCCATTTACAATATATCTCAATTATTCAACCATTTGATGTTCATTTCTTCCTACATTGATTCATACTATGAATGTCGTGTGCGTTTCGTCGGAGTTTGATCTGATCTCTTTGATGTTTCAACCCAGTTTTTTGGTACTTACTTCCATCACGTTGGTCCCTTTCATCTCGTTGTAGCCACCTTTTTCTCTTATTCTCTCTGCTTTTCGCCCTCCAAGGCCAGACAATCAACCAACAAAGCGAAAATAAAACAAAGACAAATCCTGTTTTCCCCCAAACTCTTTAAACCTCCTCCCCTTGTACTGTAACAATCTAGTTCAGTTACACCCACCAACCCCCTCACCAAGTCTTCATCCATTTCGCTCCATTGCTTGCTTGCTTCTATTCTCTAGATAGTATGTATGACCGAATACGCAGAAATGAGAATAATCATAAAACTTCACCCACATAGTTAAGTAATACTACAATCTCCACACCGAAACCCCCCAAATACAATATTATCCACACACGATAGAGTACTCTGATACACGATCATCCACCACACCATTCCATCATGTATATATAAAATTCGCGACGCCTCAGGAACATCAATAGCTACACAAACATAGAATATACTTAGTAACTAGTTAGTATATATAAACCAACCAACCTCACCACTCGAACCAAATCAATCAATCAATACCGGATAAGTAGAGGGCAATAATACTACCAACTTCAACTTCAATGAGTCGACTGACTTGCTACCAGAGAACCAAAGATAGAAAAGGAAGACAAAAGGTAAGATATAATAATAGGATAGGATAGATAATACAAATAATACACACACCCACACATATATGGCACACGATGTCACATGAGACGGATACAATACCCCTAAGGGGGCAAGAGAGAGAGAGAGAGAAAAACGACGTCATTCGGGCAACCACAATAACAACAACAACAAAACCCCCTTTCCCGTTCTCTGTGCATTCCATACATCCTTCCATACCATACCATACTATTCCGGGTTGGTTTGGTTTGGTTTGGGTTGTATCATTCTCTCCCCGCTTTCCCGCATAATGAGTTTCACTTCCGTGATAAGTAGGTAGTAGTTTGGACGTTGGGTTGGTGGAGTGTCGTTTGTGTGTCGATTGCATTGAATTCCATTGACAAGCTAGCTGAATGCATTTCCACGGATCGGTGTCTGCTGGATAGGGTGGGGGTATAGACAATGTGGCTAGATGGGCGAAGGGAAAAGGAAGAGGACGAGGAGAGCAAAATCTTGGTTTTGGACGCTCGAAAGACACGGGCGTGTCGTTGCTTATTTGGTTGGCATTACACTCACAGGAAGATTTTGAATAAAAAAACGCACTTGGAAAACACCAGATGCAGCCCGTCGCTTCCCCTTCCTGTCAAATGAATTCGGACAACACAAGTCGGACAATGGGAAGGAAAAAAAAAAAGGTAAAGGAAAAAGGAAGTTGAAGAATGAAGATCAACAAGAATGAGAAAACACCAACCCCTACTTGGAGCAGAAACTACCTTCCATATAGAAATGAAACACATTCAGCGGGAAATCAATGACTGGGGGGAGTCGCTGGAGTCTGGTATGCGCGGAGGGGAAATTGAGACGTTCTGCGTGTCGTGAGGTTCTCGGGCGGCTGGGGTGTACTGCTGCTGCCGATCGTCTAATGTGTGGCCATCGAATGTCGTTGGGGATTTGGGTCTCTCGTTGTAGTGTGACATTGTGTGGGACTTATGACGTTCTTATCTCCGCCCGAACCTGCTGCACATGGAAAAGCTCGTATGATTCCTTACTTCTTCTTTTGCTTTCGCGGAGGAGTGATGGGCCTGCCTGAGCTCATGCCCCCGTAAACGTACTTTTGTTTCTTTTCTGCTGGCTTCAAGATCTAATGCGAGGAAGATACCCGTTAGTTTCAAGAACGCTCCCCTCATTCGAGTACGGATTTGTTTGTGGTAGCCTACCTGGAAGGAACAAAGTAGGCTCTCGTCGACGCTCATCATCGCACCAGCGTTGTCGAACTCGCCACAGTAGTTGGGAGCACTAAATAGCGTAACCAGCTGTCTCTTAGAGAAAAACTCATAGCCATCCTCGACGACTTGGTGTGCGCGACATATCAGGTCCATATCATGCTTCTGAAGGAACCGCGACACGACGTCCGGACCGAATGTGAAGGATACACCCCGATCGTTCTCGCTCCAGCCAGTGATGTCCTTATCGGGATCGGACCAGAGCAAGTCGCAAAGAAGACCGCAGTCGGGAATCTATCGTCGTTAGCAGGCGAAGCTCAAGGCTTCAGGGAGCCCGGAAAGGATTGTTTCATCGCTCCCAGGACCCTTAAGTCAACAAATGAAAAAGGGTCTGGTCTTCGTCTTTTCACGAAAGGCGAGAAAAAGACCCCACAATATTGATAGGAAAGAGCACTTACATCAGTGGGGCGCATAACACGACGGATCTGTTCCATCGAGTTCAAGTCGGGACTCAGACCTCCGTGCATGGTGAAGATCTTCTCATCGATGATAGCCGCAATGGGGAGGCAGTTGAAGCAATCCGTGAAAGTCTTCCACAGCTTAATGTTGTACCGCCGCTTGCACTCATCATAGAAACCATAGATACGGTTGATGGACGCACACTCGTGGTTACCACGGAGAACGAAGAAGTTCTCGGGGTATTTGATCTTGTAAGCCAAAAGGAGGCAGATGGTCTCAAGCGACTGCTTGCCACGGTCAACGTAGTCACCGAGGAACAGGTAGTTGGCCTCGGGCGGGAAGCCACCGTATTCGAAAAGACGCAGAAGATCGTAGTACTGGCCGTGGATATCACCGCAGATCTGATAATAAGCGCCACCGGATTAGTTTCCGCGAAAGATAGACGCGATGACCCGATCTCGACCGGGACAAATGAGGGATGGCGTTTTTACCTTGATGGGTGCCTCCAATTCCAGCAGTATGGGCTGGGAGATGAAGATTTCCCGAGCCTTGGTGCAAAGATAACGGATCTCCGACTCCAGAAGCTGAACCTGCTTTCCAGGCCGGCTGCCCCTCACCTCCAACAATCTATCAATGATCGAGTCCAAATCCACGTCTTGATCGGCCATGTTTGAGCGACTCCAACGAGAGACGACGCAAAAGAAAACGAAAAAGAAAAGTGCGAACCGAAAAAAGAACGAAGAAAAAAAGAAAAGAAAGAGAAAGAGAAAAAAGGATCAATTAACACAAGTGTTGGACCACGGAAGAAGAGAAGGGCGCGAAAAGGGTAGCTTTGCGGAGGGCTCGGTAGGCGATACGATTGATGACGCGGCGTCTATAGGCTGTGGCAGCGAAAATATGAAAGTTAGAGATAGTCCAGAGAGAGCAGGGCAGACTATGGGATGAGGTGCAGCAGGAGGCGAGGAAAGAAACGCGTGATCAATGCGCCCGGGAAATTTTTTTTTTTTCTTCAAGCTGGGTTGAACTTGGATGGCGGGTGAAACGGGGCGACGGGGAGAGGAGGGGTGAGAAGTTGTCAAAAGTAGTTAAGAAGTCGGCTTACCAAACAGAATCTAAAAGAGACAAGGGAAGTTAAAAGCGGCAACAGGCCAAATGGCCTTGGGGACACTGAGAAGATCCGACAGCGATGCCAGATATTGATGGAGAGAAGAAGCAAGCGGCCTTGGTAAATTTTTCACACGGGAGGAAGGATGAAGGCGAAGCGCGTTGATAACGGCGAGATGCGGCTAGCAAGGTTTTGAGCGTAAGAAGATATCGCTGGGCGAAAGAACTGCTTCTGGACGGGGCGGTTGCAAAAAATAGCAGCCGGCGGCGGGAGGGAAACGGGGGGTGGGTTGGGGAGAAAAACAAGGGCCAACAAGCGAAGCCGAGATTGGAGGCGAGCTCTTGTTCGAAGATGGGGTGGGAGGAAGAGTCCTTCTTCTTACTCCTTCTGTACCTGGTGTGTGGCGTGAGGGGTGTGTAAAAAGAACCGATCAAGAAAGTCACGTAGAAGGGGGGAAGATGAGAAGTAGGAGAAAGAGTGAGGGAGAGAGAGAAGTTTGTAAGAGGGTGAGTGAGGGTGTCGAGTGACAAGAGAGAGAGAGAAAGGGCGCGCGCAAGCAGTTGGGATTGATTGTGTTTGGTTGCCGGCAATCAAGGGATCGATCGATCTCTTCTTTCTTCTTTTGCAAGGCTTTTCTGGGAAAACCGTTCGAGGCTGGAAGGGTTTTGCCAAATTCCACGAGAAACAGGAGAAGCACGAGCGAAACAGAATGCGAAGAAGCAAGATAGATAGATAGATGATAGCAAGATTCTGGGGGGGTGTGGGAAAGAGGTGGGAAGGGGCAGAGAGGATGGCAGTAACGAAGGAGGACAAGCTCACCACTTGAGACGCGCGCGAGAGGAGCAGCAGAGAACCTGGACTGGCGCGAGAGAATGAGAGAGTGAGAGAGAGGGAAGAAGAGAGAGATCAAAGCAAAGCAAAGCCAAAGTAACGCAACGCAGCGTCAAGCAAAGCAAAGGCAAAGCAAAGCAAAGCAAAGGGAGGAGGAACTCTTGATTGACTGCCTGCCTGCCTGAGACTCCCGGATGGCAAACTGGAAAGGGCCCCGGCCTCGTGTTTATTCCTTCTGATTGGTTCATCGCCCGGGCGGCGGGCAGCGCGCCATTCATTAAACAGTAAAGCGCTTCATGGGTGTGTCTTCTACTAGTAATACTATTCCTAACTGTTGATACTAAACTCTCTCTCTCCAACGGTCTATCAACGTCTCGACTCTCATCCCTCAACTCTCTTTCTTTCCATACCCCTCCTTCTTCAGGGGACTGCATTTCCGCTTCATCCTCCTTCGTACTTTTGTCCAAAACTCTACAGACTTACTAACTAATTACTGGCCTTCAACCCCAGATCATCTCTTCCCCGACCTCGACCCTCACTCTGCGGCACTACCCCCTGCTGCAAGGGAGCACCGCCAATCGATGCCGCATTTCCCCCCTCTTTCTAGCAATCCAGCTTCTTCTACCCCCTCAAACAAAGACCCCACGGTGCTGAAATCGTGTGTGGATTCTCGACATGCCTGCCGGTGATCTACCTACCTGATGTACATATACATCATGTACATCCATACCTCGGACCTACTTACGTATGCCCATGACCTACCCCCCCCTCCTTATGTTCGCACGAGCACTTGCATGCTTTGCTTTAACGCCTCAATGTCCCTTGGCTCCTTCATTCTATTGAAAATCCCCGGGGAGGTACCTGACAAGAACTTATCTACGGCATATCTATCTCGGATTCTACTCCAGTGGGGATGTTCCTTCTGTTCTCCCCCACCACCCTTTTCAACTCTACGTGTGACGCACCTGATCCGAAAGCGCCCATGGCGCATTGCATTTCAACTATTGGCGCTATCGCGGGGAAGAGAGAACATCAGATCTGACTCGTCACAACATCTTCGTGTCTCATGCATTAGGTCCGAATCTCATCATGGGCCAAGGCGGTCCCAGAAAATAATCCGTAGAAAACGGCAGCACGCCAAGAAAAAGAAAAAGAAGAGAAGAAAACGAGAAGAAGAGAAGCAGCTCAGTATACATCCTGAAGGATCATCGCATGCGCGGAACGTCATGTGCAAGCAGTGAAAACGGGAAACACTCAAGACACAACGAGCAGTACCGAAAAAGCGAAGCATCACGTCGTATATAAATCAAGACACCAGTTGAACTCCTGGACACCAGCACTCCTGCCCCAAAATACAATACAGGCCGTCTAGAACAAATAATAACAAAAAAGTAATCCTATCAGATGGACCAGCCGGGAACGGTCGGATGCGGGCCGTAGGTGGTGTATAACTGCGGCGAAGCAAGAGAGGAGTGGGAGAGGGAGGAGAAAGACGAAGGAGGAAAGAAGAATCATTCATGTGTTCCACGCATCCGGGCCGTAAGCTCTGAAAGATCACCTAACGCCGTGAATGATGCAGTTCGACAACCAGCTGCCGTAAGCATGTCGTTAAAGAATTTGCGTGTATAAGGTCGAGTATAGTCAAAAACCGGAAGGTATCGTGGAAGAACTGCGTTTTTTCGAAGCCAAACCGAACTTTTCTCTGGGGGTGTGAAAGGTGTAAACCGAAATTCCAGACTTAGGAACGACCATGGATGAGGTCAAGATGTTCTTTGCTCCCTTGTTCCTTCAATCTCTCTCCTTGTCCTCTTGTCTTTTCTTTTCCTATTTTTCTCTTCATTTTTTTCAACTTTTTTTTTTTTCATTTGAATTCTTTTTTTACTTTATTTCATTTGCCCTTGTCGACTGGAGTCTTTCCACGCAGTCAACTTAGGGCATGGCCACCACTTAGGATGACCTGGGGATTCACCCTGGTTAGGGGGTCCACTGGGATCCTCGTTGGGTCGGAATAATCAGCTGCAGTGCAAGACACATTGATGTCCGTCTGCACATCCTTCCACCTGTGTTCCTCGAGCGTCCTGAGCCAGCTATTTCCAAGTTCTTGCCTAAGAGCCTCTAGCTGCCGTTTGTAGAAATCTCCGTCTACATTCCAGTCTTTACCCTGGAGGGCACGCTGGAGGCCAAGCTGGTCTTGGGTCTGAAGAGCGGAGGAGTCGCGTTCAATCTCAGTCCTTTCCGGGTTTTTGGGACTTGCGGGTCTGGCCTGAGGTCCACCATCAGATTTCCATTGACGGTCGGGTGTTGCCGTGACAAACGGATCAACAGGTAATTGCACAGGCTGAACAGAAGGAATAGAAGGCACCACCGCACCTGATTCACGATTAACATCAGCGGAAGGCTTATCTTTTGGGCGATCGGCAATCTTCCGCCGTGTACCCTTCTTTCGACGAGTAGACCCAACATCGATTCCATTTTGGCCCACTCGTCCGACTGGTCCAATTTGCTCATACGGCAGCGAAGGCTCCTGAGGAACTGTGTGCGAGGGCTTGCTGACAATGGTAGAAAGATCTGCCGCAGCGGATCGTATGACGGGTGCAGCCTCGGGTTCCGCAGCTCGCTCCACCAGTTGCTTCCGCTCGGTGTATCCTGGTCCCGACCCATCGATGATGATGTCCTCTGAGTAACCTGGGGTGCGTCGGAACAAGTTGAAAATCACAACACGGTAGTTTGGATGTGTTTTCACAAAGGGGTTGCCAGAAACCCAGATCTCCCGTATCTCAGGGAGATTGGTGAGCCTAGCAATCTCAGTAGGATCCGTAAGGTTGTTGTCTCGGAGGTCCAGCCGTTCCAACGAAAGCAGCCTCTCAATTCCCGCGAGAGAACGGAGACGGTTCCCGCGGAGGTTGAGTGCGGTTATGGCGGGAAGAGGATTGCGTGACAAGGAGTGGAGAGATTCGATCATGCAATGAGAAAGGTTCAGAGCTCTCAAGGCAACCAGGGACGCGAGACTGTCGGGTACTTCGGTGAAAAGATTCGACGATAGATCGAGCGACTGTAGGGTGTTGGCCACTGGAGCAAGGCCGGCGGCAGTGATGGAGGTCAAGGAGTTGTCAGGGAGGCCAAGGTGTCGCAAGAACCGCCACTTGTGTGCTGGCAAGACACCGGAAAGTAGATTGGAAGAGCTTGCGCTGCGGTGACCCGAGGTCTCGCTAGAGTTGGAACTACCTGAGCCAGTGCGTCTTATCCGGGAGGCGGTACCACGGCCATGACGGTAAGTCGAGTGTTTCGAGCTGGTGGGACGTGTGGGAGAAATGCTTCCGGTGCGTGGTCGAGCTTTGGAACCCTCTGATGCCATTCTGATCATCGAAGCTGCTTGGGGGCTAGCGCTGGATCCAAAGGGGGCATCAGCAACTGGAGACCCGGGAGCAGAGAGTGACCCAGACAGTTCAGACTTGTTGACTGGCTGAGGGTTTGCATTCCCACTCCACCCCATCATGGGTGAGTGGTGGTGTTTTGACGAACGCCGCCGACGTTTGTCAATGTCATCCAGCACAATGCCCGTGAGCAATTCTGCTGGGTCCTCGATATTAGCCCTCTTGACTGTCAGCGTCCGCAACTGCTCGGACAGCCTATCCCAGCCGAAGAACGAGCGATAGTCTATATCAATAATCTCTAACGCGCTCAAATTCTTAAAGGAATGCAATGGAACGGCAGTGTCAAAAGGGAATTCTTCGTAACCACGGATCAACCGGGCACGGCGGTCAGGGGCTAAACGCAGGCAGGGGATCTTGGTAAAGGCAGAGTATAGGTATTTGGTATCCGCTTCTAGAGCTGCTTTGGCCTTCTCGGATTTGGAAGCCGAGTCTTTGGAAACCAAACCAAATGAAGACCAAAGTGAACTCATACCAGACATGACGCTACGGACACTGGACACGGAGTGGATAGAGTCCCGGTCACCCCTGGATCGCTGAGGCTTATTCAGGAATGACACATAGGACTGCGATCCATCCGTGTGAATATTCTCCAGCCTAACATTCAGGGGACCGACGGCAATAGAAAGGTCTTCAAAACGGGACAAGAGGTAAAACAGGTGATGGGGAGTGAGGGTGAGTTTGGCAGGTTTAACATTCTGGGAAGTGAACTTCAGTGCCCCGAAGGACAGGGCCGCTGCAAGAGTGGAGGAAGCCGAGCTCGACGAGCCCGACTGGGTATGGGAGGATTGCGCATTTTTGGTAGGTTGGCGCTTTAATTGCAGCGCGTTTGCAAGGGCCTTTTCGTGTGTACGAACAAAACTAGCGAGATTCTAGACGAAGAGGTTAGAGTTAGCAAGCAAGCAAGCGAAGTCGACTAGGGAGGAGAGAGAAAGATCAAGGTGAATAAATGTAAATGTATAAGAGGGCGCACGAACTTTTATGAAGAGCTGTCCATCTTCAGTGTTCAGCTTCTCCATTACGGAAAATTGCTTCGCCCAACGAGACAAAAGTCTATCTGGTTAGGCGGACTCTGAAGAGGAACGCTCAAGTACTCGCAGTAGGGACGGCGAGAGTCGACATCTTGCTGGCAAGACAAAAAGCGAAAGAAGAAGAGGACCTGCAGGATAGTAAAACGGGCGAGAGTTAGCCGTGACTCACAACAACAAAAAACGACTCAGGATAGATAGCTAAGCCCAAGGCGCTATGCCTCGTAACTATTGTCGAAAGGAAGGAGACAAGGCTGGGATGTACCTCGAAGATATAGGGGGGTTGCACAATAACAATAAACTAATCGTCGAACAGAATCACGAAGCCGCCCACCACAACTATGCTAGACACGAGGAAGAGGAGGGATGGAGTGGTTGGAGACGAAAGGGAAGGTCTCCAATGTCAGTTGAGAAGAGAAGCCTGTCACCGGGACGAAGCTGAGGGAGGAGGAAGAGGCGAGCTGAAGCAGGAGTGATCACCGAAAAAGGAGAAGATGGATGGGCTGGATAGAAAAAGAAAAGGACCGGGGGGAGCTAATATGCAAAGCACCACGGACCTTCGACTAGTGGACGATACGTGACGGGGGGTTTGTAGTGGAGGATTGAGAGAGGGAGGGAGGAGTGGGTATGGATGAGCACCGGAGCAATCAGCTGAGGGGGGGAGGGGCGTAGGGGGTGGTGGGTGGTAGTAGTAAGTGTGGTAAGCCCGGGTTCAAGTAGTAAATTATTGTTGGCTGACAAGGTATGCCTTCAAATTAACTACTGTCGGGATGAAGAGGGAGGGGGGTGGGAAAGCGCGGTCAGAAGAGAAATAAAGAAAAACCACAAGACAATGCGACGCAGTCTCGAGATAAGTGCAGGTGTTTTGTTGCTGGGTTGAGCAAAAATATGTCACTTCTGGGAGAGACGGAGGGAAAGGAGGGAAGAGGCAAAAAAAGGACGGGCTGGCGATACTGGGACTAATATAATTTATTATCATATAGAAATCTTCGCCTGTTATCTTGTCCTGCTCTCCCTTTGGTCAGGGAGCCGCTGCACCGGGCGTCGTCCAGAGGTACATGCGTACTTGCATACGTATCGTACGGTACGCTAAGACCACGGCGGGTACGGGAATACCACCCCATAGTCAGACTCAGGTAAAAAGAAGTAGTAAGTAATACTAGACTTCTGTGTCTTTTTTGACTTTTGATTCGCCTTAATTTTGTCCTCATTATTGTTTTGACCCTTTTTACATCCATCAAATCATCGTTGTATCCATAAACCAGTCGGTGGCGACCGTCGGGAAAGGTCCGTTGTTAAATCCAGTTGTTCGTCAACTCAGCTTCGTCCCCTTGTCTACCGGATCCTATCAAGAAAGAAGTGAAAGCGCCCAGATACAATTGATAAATACGGACCCATACCTCAAATGACTGGTTAGCCTTCTCCGGAAACTCTATCTAGCGGGGTACTCTGGATTACTCAGTTGAACAAGACCATGATGTATTGATAAGCGATCTCTCAAAATTTTGGCATTCCCTCAGAGTAGGAGTAGATAGTTGTTATCGCATTTCCCCTCTCGGTACCAATGGATATCCCAAAGTTACTTCATTGATATCAATCAGGATCGGTTTCAGGATGGAAGCATACACACAATACAGTATCACTACAACGGTCAAACGAAGGAGTGCCATTCTTCGGCTCTGGCGAAGAGTGGAGCAATCTTTCCGAATCCCTCGAAGCGGGTATCCCGATCGCCGACCCTTGGACTTGGCTGATGCAGTAACGGAGGACTAGTAGTATGCAACTACAACAATAATAGTAATAATAATGTTTAAGTAGGAAAGGAAAACTCCGTACGCACATACTTTTTGTTTGAAGGGCGGAAGGATTTCTGGACCAATCTGGAGGGTGTAGAACGCACACACCATGTTGATCAAATTTGCCAAGTAACTAGGAAACGTAAGTAGGCCATACTATTTTTTATTTCTTTTCTTTTCTTATTTTTCCTTGACCAATTCGAAGCCACTGCAAGCCCGGCTCCAGTATGCTGCAGGTCGGGTGAAAAGTTTTTTTTTTTTTCTGTTGTGTACTGTATGTTGGATGGAGGAAGGAGGGGGGTAAGAAACGGAATGAAGCGCAGTGTTTGGTTGAACCGGGCGGTGCTTAGAGGGAGACCCGCCTCTTGGGCGGATGCAACT